CCAAGGTTTGGATCCCAGTACTGGCCCATCAAAAAAAAGGGGGGGGCCGGCCCGTGGCTCACTCGGGAGAGTGTGGTGCTGATAACACAAAGGTCCAGGGTTTGATCCCTGTACCAGCCAGCAAAAAAAAAAAAAATCACAACACTAAATCCCGGTGAGGATGTGGAGAAACTGAATTACCCATACATTGCTTGTAGGAATGTAGAAGTGTACAGCAACTCTGGAAAACAGTTTGGCAGTTCACAACACTAAATCCCGGTGAGGATGTGGAGAAACTGAATCACCCATACATTGCTTGTAGGAATGTAGAAGTGTACAGCAACTCTGGAAAACAGTTTGGCAGTTTCTTACAAAACTAATCATGCTACTACCATATTACCCAGCAATTGCACTCCTGGGCTTTTATCCCAGAAAAATATTGTACACAAATGTTTACAGCAGTTTTATTTGTGATAGCCAAAACTAGAATCAGCACAGATTCCTTCAATAGATAATTGATTAAACAAATTGTGTTATGTCTATACCATGGAATACTACTCAGAATAAAAAAGAACAAAACTATTGATGCATGCAACAACCTAGATATTCATATAGATTTTCAAATTTATTGTCATTAATCTGTTTATAATATATTCAGCTTTCTAATGTCTGTTTATATGTATAGTGATGTCCCCTTTAATCCTGTTATTAGTTATCTGTGGCTTATCTCTTTTATTTATTAACCTTGTCAGGAGTTTTTTTTAAAAATATTAATAGCCTTTTAAAAGAACGAAACTTTTTAAAATGTATTTTTAATTGACAAAAATTGTATATATTTATGGTGTACAACATGATGTTTTGAAATATGTATATTTTGCGGAATGGCTAAATCAAGGTAGTTAACATGCATTACCTCACATACCATTTTTTTGTGTGGTGAACACTAAAAATCTACTCTCAGTAATTTTCAAGTACACGATACATTGTTGTTAACTACAGTCACCATATTGTACAAGTTATTTTGAACTTATTCCTTCTGTCTACTGAAATTTTGTATTCTTTGCCCAATATCTCCCCAATCCTCTCCCCTGCCCCACATTCCTATCAGCCCCTGGTAACCACTATTCTATTCTCTGCTTCTATAAGTTAGACTTTTTTAGATTCCACATATAAGTGAGATCATGGATATGTGTGTTTCTGTGCCTGGCTTATTTCTCCTAACTTAATGTCCCCTATGTTGTTGCAAATGACAGGATTTCCTTCTCTTTTAAGGCTGGATAATATTCTATTGTGTATATATACACATTTTCTTTATCTATTCATCCATTGATTCCATATTAGGTTTTCAAAAGTTTAAAAATTACTTTCCAAAAATTTTATTTTCAGGGTCATAGAATCCTTGTTTATAACTCTGAAATATCATTCAGCTTTACTATCCCACCACATATTTTCATTGTCTGTTCCCATCATTGGATATGGCTGTTTCTTCAAAGGATGACTTTTCCTTCAATGCTTATGTCTTCTGAGATCAGCAGTTTTTAACCTTAGCTGCAAATCAGAATTACTCTATTGATTTAAAAACTATCTAGGGGGCTGGCTGGTTAGCTCAGTTGGTTGGAGCAAGCTGTTATAAGAAAAAGGTCAAGGATTTGGATCCCCACACCGGCCAGCTGCCAAAAAAAAAAAAAGAATAGCTAAACAGACCAATGGAACAGAATAGAAATAGATGCTTACAGACTCGTATAAAGAAACTTAATTAATGACAGACGAAAGTGCACAGCAGAGCAGTGAGGAAAAGACAGTCTTTTTAATAAACAGGATGAGTCAATAGTATGTCCTTATGGTGGAGAAACTAATCTTGACCTCCTTCTTCACACTCATCCAAAAATTATGTCTAGGTGTATTGTAGATATAAATGTGATAGGTAAAGCAATAAAACTTCTAAAAGGAAAATATACTGGGCACATTTAGGCCTAGCCTCTGATGGTGAGTGGCTGGTTGCAAGGGACTCAAGATAGGAATGCTCCCAAAACGTAGAGGGTATTCCACTGTGTGTGAAGGTTCCTGAAGACCGGAAAGATCCAGAGGTGTTCCAAGTCCGGACTTGGCTGCTGGAAGCCATGTTTGGCACAGATGGATCTCAAATGCCTTACATCCAGCAAGTGAGAAAGGCCATGCTCAAGCTGAAGGCTCTGGAATCCTCAGACCTCACTGAAGCCGTGGTTTACAGCTCTTCCTTGTGTAAGCTCTGGACCAAGTGCATGCTCCAGTTCATGACTGAGTGGCACTGCCAGCGGCAGGAGCAAGGGTTGCTCAAGCTTGAGGAAGCCATGAATGCCGTCGAACTAGGTCCCTGGGTGAAGTGAAGCCAGTTTTCAGCCAACGTGAGCGGGACCAGATGTAGAGATTAGGTTGTGGCCAGAGCTGGAGTGGGTTCTAGCTTGTTTTAAACTCTGCTCCAGCCTGAGCAGTTAAGAAGAAAGCTGTGCTGGCTGGTTAGCTCAGTTGGTTAGAGCATGGGGCTGATAAAGCCAAGGTCCAGGGTTTGATCTCTGTACCCATCAGTGCCAAAAAAAAAAAAAAAAAAAAAAAAAGACAGAAAAACAAACAAACAAACAACACCCAGCTGTTTTGGGGTCTCTGCATTTGCTGTGAGTTCTGACTCAAGCAAGACTTTTCCCAAGACTGCTAATTAAAGAAAAAAGTTCTAAACAGGTAAAATAAAAGGAAAAAATGTTTTCATGACCTTGGGGTAAGAAAGATTTCATATATAAGACATCAAAATGAAAACATTGATAAATTGTACTACATTAAAATTAAAAACTCTAGTACATTAGGATGGTGAAAAGGAGGCCATGGAGTAGAAGACAGGTGTAATATGTATAACTGACAAAGGACTCAGATTCAGAACAATAACTCAATCAACTGATCAATCAATAACAATAAAAGGTCAGACAATCCAATAGAAAAATGGGCAAAGACCATTGTCAAAGAACAAAATTACAGCAAATTTAAAGACCTCAATTGGCTTTATTGTGATTCTAGAATTGAGTAACACATTATTCAATAAAATGGAAAAACTGTTCACATGAGCCCAGCAGAGGAGGTTGGTTTCATAGATAGAAAAAGGCTGAAAAGAGCAGAAACAAAGAACAAAAAGTACATCGGTCATTTCAAAGTTACTCTCCTTGTAAAGTGGGGACAGGAAGAAAGAACAATAGAAAAATAACTGACTAATATCAGGTTACTTCAAACTATCTCTTTTATGTAAGAATTAAAGCAGAGAGAACTTCATTATCATACCTACTGAAGATTAAAACTGGCCTGTTTGGGAAGTAGGCTGTTATCTCTCTCTCCTGACTTTCAGAAGGTCAGACCATGTCCTAAGTGACTTGGAACTTAGCAAGGTTGACTCCATTTTAATTTTTAGTCTGATCTGTTGGGGTCTAGTGCAAGATCTTATCCAAAATAATAGCCTACAATAATTTTTATTTAACAACATGAACAAGCCAGTAGAAATGCAAGATAGTGAAAATAAATGAAAAGGTGATCAACTTCATTGGAAACCAGAGAGTGCAAATTAAAACACACCCATTAGAATGACTAACATTTGGGGCCGGCCCGTGGCTCACTCGGGAGAGTACGGTGCTGATAACACCAAGGCCCCGGGTTCGGATCCCACATAGGGATGGCCGGTTCGCTCACTGGCTGAGTGTGGTGCTGACAACACCAAGTCAAGGGTTAAGATCCCCTTACCGGTCATCTTTAAAAAAAAAAAAAAAAAGAATGACTAACATTTGAAAAACTGACAATACCAGTGTTGGTGAAGCTGTGGAGCAACTGGAACTCTCATGCACTGCACATGGGAATGAAAATGGTATAACCATCTTGCAAAACTAATTGGCAGTATGTGTAAACCTGATTATAAGCACATCCTATGGCTCAGTCATTCCATTTCTAGATATACCCAACAGGAATGTATACACCAAAAGACATGTACAAGAATGTTCGTAGCAGCATTATTTATAATAGCTCCAAACTGAAAACTACTCAAATGTCCAACAACAGTAGTATACATAAATTGTGATATAATTCATATTATGGAATACCACACAGAAATAAAAAGTAAGCTAACTACTTCGTGCAACAACATGCATGAATCTTATAAACATAATGTTGCAAAAAGGAACCAATCAAAAAAATCATACATCTAGCCATGACAGAGTAGCTGGTACCAGACTAAGAAATAAGTCAAAAAAAATTAGATAACTGTAAAACTTATGAAACAACCATTTTCAGTCATTGGACCACAGGCAGAATAGCACAGTGATTACTGAGAGAAGGGGAAAAAATAAGGTGAGCCCTACATTTCCCCAGCTTTCTGCCTGATGGCATTTACCAAATACCAGCATAGGAAGAGGGATCCCAAGTAAAGCATGACAGAGTTGCTGAGCTGAGGAGACAAAAGAGCTTGGGGAGACTGAGAGGGCTAGCGTTTGTGGGGCAAAATACCAGAGAGAAGGGAACTACGCAAAGAAAGAAATCCAGAAATCTGCATAGGAGTCCCTTGCATCTCTGGCAAAACACTAAGCCATACAAGAGTAGGATGAGACTTCATGAGGCCAGAGAAAGAAAAACTACTGGGTAGACTCTTCTAAGCTGAATAGGCAAATCTATAGAGACAGGAAGTAAATTAGTGGTTGCCTAAGGCTGGGGGAATAGGAGAAATGACAAGTGACTGCTAATGGACGTGAAATTTCTTTTTGAGTGAATGAAAATGTTCTAAAAGTAGATTGTGGTGATGGTTGCACAATTTCGTGAATGTTCTAAAACCCACTGAAGTGTGACTTCAAAGGGGTGAACTGATTTAAAAAAACAAACAAACCTTAAACATTGGAAAAACAGTAAAATATGACCTATAACCAATAGAAAAATCAGCAGTCAGGCTTCCAGTCAAGATGGCAGAATAGATGGTCCCCAGCATCGCTCTCTCCCACAAATCCACCAATTTACAATTATTAAAAAGCAACGACAGCCAAGCTGGGGCCACTAAAGCTCAGCGGAAGAGGAGAGACCTATGGATTACATGAAGGCAGGAAAAGCCACAGTGAGAGAAAGAAGAGATTGCTCTGACCATTTTGAGCCCTGGCCACTTCCAGACTAGAGCTGGTGAATGCATAGAAGCTGTGCCTTTCCTATGAAGTTGCTTGGAGGTGTCAGGGGAGAAGAGGGCCTTGGTGGTCCTAAGGCTAGTAAGACCACTAAAAGGGTTCCCATGGACACACATAGGAGCGAGGAGCCGGAAGTACCTACAAAGTCAACTGTTAAAACCTGAGCTGTACAAAAAGCTTTCCCCAGGGAATCAGCAGCAAAGCAGCAATTTAGCTCAACCACAGGGCTGAAATGCTGGTCCCCACAGGAAGTTCTCCCTTTTTAGAAGTAAGCAAAGAACAACAAGTTAGTTCCAGTGCTGAGTTTAAGTAGTGGAAACAGCAAATAATCCAACACAGAACTGAAAGAAGAAACAAAATATCCACAGACCAGAGATAAAGTTTGATATTAACTAGTAAAGTTCTCACTTCACCTAAGAACACCAATAAAACCTAGAAGGACTGGAAGCTAACTGGGCCACCAAGCCAGGGAGGGCTGAGGGCCAGGGGCCTCAGCCATGCCCGCTGACACCTATAACCAGCCCAGTGACAACCACCAAGCTGCCACAGGAAGCACCTCAGGCCCCTGAACTGGGACAGTGGGGGGCTGAGGGCCTTGGCCATGCCCCCCTGATACCCACACTCAGCCCAGCAACGACCACTGAACCACTGCTGGAAGCCCCCTGGTCTCCCAAGCTGGGAAAGTGGGGGGCCGAGGGCTCCAACCACACCCTGCTGACATCTGCACCCAGCCCAGCAATGACCAAGCTGCCACTGTAGGCCCTCTGGTCTCCCCTACAGGAATGAGGGGGGTGCAATGGGTCATGACCCTGTCCCTCCTCCTTCCTGCTTCTCCCATCCTATTTCCTTCCCCTTTTCCCTGTCCCCCTCCCCCCAACTGCTCCACAACATCTTAGAATGTAAAAAAATAATATTAAAAACTTTTTAAAAGCCAGATACAAAAATATAATCCATCTGATCTAGAGTGAACAAAGATTGAATTGATTTTCAACCACATTCTTAGGAAATATGCATATTATCATTATTTTATCAAAAGGAAGATAACATTAGATAGTTAAAGTAGATCTTTACCACCAAGTTGCGGGCTCTTTTATGACAAGAATTATCTTGTTTTTTCCCTCTCTTCTTCCCTTTTTCCCTACCATTCTTCTCTCATTAAGTAACTACCAAGTACCTGGGCCAGGCCTGTGGCTCACTTGGGAGAGCGTGGTGCTGATAACACCAAGTCAAGGGTTAAGATCCCCTTACCAGTCATCTTAAAAAAAAAAAAAAAAAAATTACCAAGCACCTAATCTGGGTCATCTCAGCAGTTTTATGTCCTGCAGCAGGGACTCAGTGGTTTTTGCTGTTGACAGAATTAGTTTTTGAGGGGCGAGGCCAGTCATCTAGGAAAAAAATACGGCTCCATATCCTGGTGTTTTCTGAAGATTGGGGTTGAGATCTTGATTATCTCTATATGTTTTTGCAGTTTTAAAGATATTTTTCCTTTTTTTTTTTTTTACTGACTGGTAACGGGATCGCAACCCTCAGTGTTGCGCCCGTACCGGGGACCGGCAATGGGATCACAACCCTCGGTGTTGCGCCCGCACCACGCTCAGCCAGTGAGCGGGAACCGGTCTCCACATGGGATCCGAACCCTCGGCGGGAGCACCGCCGTGCTCCCAAGAGGCGCACTCTCCAGTGCGCCACCAGGCCGGCCCTAAAGATATTTTTAAATGTTCAATTGTAGATAATTGTTAATGGCTAATGCAAAAATGGTGGAAAATCAGAGTAACAAAAATATAAACAATAAAATCTGAGTTTTTAAATTACATTATTCTCCCTTTTTTTGTTAATTGAGATGTAAATGTAAAAATCTTAAAGTACAATTAAAAAACCTAAAAGTCGGGCCGGCCTGGTGGCGCACTGCTACAGTGTGCCGCTTGGGAGCGCGGTGGCGCTCCCGCCGAGGGTTCGGATCCCACATACAGACCGGTTCCCGCTCACTGGCTGAGCGTGGTGCGGGCGCAACACCGAGGGTTGTGATCCCATTGCCGGTCCCCGGTACGGGCGCTACACTGAGGGTTGCGATCCCGTTACCAGTCAGTAAAAAAAAAAAAAAAAAAAAAAAAAAAAAAAAAAAA